AACACGACGCTACACTCGACAATGCCACTTGGAGGGTCACACGCAGGCGGCAGCATGCCAGAACAGAGTACCATGGAAAAAGCACCAAGGACCAAAGCCTGAGGTCTCAGACCAAGCAGCTGTGCAATCCAAGGCGCTATGCGATCAGCCAGAGCAGACATTGACCCAGCAGCCGGTGCCAGCAGCCGAAGCAAGCATGGAAGTGCCAACACCCGAACCCCCACTTGCACTGGCACAGAGCAGTGAGACCGCCCAGCGGCCGAAAGAATCCATCCGTGAAGCCTCGCAGCAGGCGACCGCAAAACAAAAAGGAAGGATCCATCCCTGAAGCATCCCAGCAACAAGCAGCAGCTGCAGCACCCGATGGGCAGCAACAGAAAAGGCCCAGTGTGCCAAAGCGATTGAAAGACAAGCTAGCTGCAGATGCAGCAGCAAAGCGACAGAAGCAACATGCATTGCAAAGTGCGACCAGCCCGCAACATTCCGGACTCCCCGAAACCAGCATGCCACAGGCAGTCCCAGCAAGCAGCAAGGCAGATGAAGACACTACAGCGCAAGGCAAGCCAGCAAAGCAACTGCTCCCACTGGCAAGGGTGGGAAGAAACCAAGCAAGGAGTATATCTATATATGTGCATGTGTAAGCCCCAAAGCCGAAACACTGCTGCGATAGGTTGCCGCTTTTGCATTATCGCCACGCATGCAGCGAAATGCCCTGCGTGCTTAGTGCCGTGAACATGCAATGTCGAAATCGACAGTGCGTAATTGGAGGTGAGCTCGGGAAGCTACTCAACGGGTTTAACCCGTTGACATCTGGGATCCTGTAAGATGTCTTCATGTGCATTGGAGATGGACGCTTCAGGTCAGAAAGAGCCAATGCATGCATCTGCAATTGCTAGCTGGTATAGTACCTGCTATGAGTTAAAATGCAAATAAGCTTATGTAGATTGTGCTTGCAGGCCGGCATGCCTCCCCATTTCGAAAGATGGGCCACTCGCAGGCCCTGGGATGCATCGCGTCCATCCGACAAGATTACACAGAGACAGAAAGAGGGAGACAGACAGATTCCACCATAGTGTGTGCATGTTCGCACGCGCAGTGCATTTATGTTCTGAGAGACTCGCTGTGAGTCTGTGAGTTCTGCAGCTCCATCGCATGTTGGCCTGTTAGTTTTGTGCTGAGCCGTTGGCATCTTCAAAGATGCCGCTGCTGTCCCGGGATTCCTTGCCGGTGAACCTCACTCAGATGCAAGCCCCCAAAGACCACCACTCAGCTGAGAAATGTGAAACCGCTAGTACTGGCGTGTCTAACATGTATAAGCATGGCACGTATACCTTGCGAGCCACCGATCGGCTGTGTGACTGCCTTATCGCGTGGATGTGCTATCACTCATCTCCGTGGCATGCTACTGTGGGCACTGTGCAAGCCACACCCAACTGGAGGTACTTCTTATGCTGTGGCTGCACGGTCACCAGATTAGCTACAAGTACGACCTCGTGGAGATCTTCGCCGGCAGGGGCAGGGTGAGCAAGGCATTCCGAGATGCAGGCTGCACTGCAGCGATGTTTGATCGTGATCAGAACAAAGACCAAACTTCCTGACACGAGGTGGCTTTGCGAGCCTTGCCTACATAACCCTGAACCTCAACCCAGTCTAAACACAATTGCAGAGAAAGTGGTAGGAGAAGGAGAAAGGAGGTAGGGAGTGAGATTGGGTGGGAGAGAGAGGGAAGGAACCGGGAACGAAGGACTTATTGTGAGCGCCCTTGTTTTGCTTCTGATTCCCTATACCCTAAACCTTAAACCCGTCCTTGGGTTTGGCGGCTCTGGACTCTGTC